GCTATTATAAACTGTTTACCAACGCAATTAGAACAGTAAAAATAAATGTTTTGTCATACCCGTGGTATACGGTCTGATATACCATGGCTTTCAGCCAATCAGAATTCAGGGCTCAAACCATCCAGTTTATAATATGCTTTATAACAGGCATATACAGTAACAGCCTGTATAGAGAGACAGAAGTAAAGAGAGCGAGGAGAAGGTGGATTGAGAGCTGTGGTGGTAAAGTAAGAGGACCCTAGGGAAAGTCTATATTGTAAAAGGGTGTGGTAGTAATTATTATTATCATGCATGGCCATTTGTGACCTCTGATGGGAGGTTCCTAATGGAATCTGTAAATTGTCCTTGTATCTCAAGCTGCTGACTAGGGAGCTTTTAGAAAAGCAAGTCAAGCTCTACGGACCACTGGACCTGCATGGCCCCAATAGGCATCTGAAACAAATGGGCTTCAGCAATTCCCTGGTTAAATGTGTCAGAGACATCGACAGGTTTCCAAATAAATAGAGAGGGTAGCAAATCAATGCGGTTGGTTGATCGTTAAGCTGGGACCATTAAATCTTAAAAGTGGTGGTATTGCAAAGTTAATTAACTTGTCTACATTAAAGCTAGAATCCTTAGTTCCTACATCCATTTTTGGACTTATAAATTAATGATATATATATATATATCCATTGATTCTTAAAGAATATAACTTCTAAATGCCTGATGAGCTAAGTTCAACTGCCATTAGAACCCAAAAAATAAGCTTTGTTTGTAAACAAAGTAAATGTAAATAAACACTGTATAGCCTCTAAACATGGTTCAAACTACCATTTTGATATCATGGATAGTCAACTCTTGCATCCATAGCCCTGTCAATGAATTTGAGTGGTTACATTTCTCCAGGCCCATCCCTCAGCTTTTTATCAAAACAGATGTGGGGTGCTTGCTTCGTTAGTGTATCAATTAAAGCTACAAATTCACATAGAAATGTGAGTTATAGATCTGTGATTATCATTTAAAGCAAGTCTAAGAAGCAGTAGATATGTTCTATGTGCGCTATTTCTATATGCTTCCCGTTCTTAGGTTTCCTGCATCTTTTACTTTCGGCTTTGTACACCAGCTTCAAACAGCTAAAAATACAATATTTTTGGTTATGGAAAATATATTTCACAGAAGTTTAGATGATACAATGATTCTCTACACTATACTTGCTTGTTTTGTCACATAAACTGAAATTAGGCAAACTATTAGAATTTTAGAAACCAAGAAATGGCGGAGCGATTTCTGTATAGTGCATCTTTCAGGATTCTATCTTTAAAACAAAGGACTAAAATGCATTAAAGGGAAATTAACTACAGTAGTAATGCGAAATGTATATTACTCTTTTGTGTTATTTTATTCCCATGAATGTTTAATAATTCATAGACATAATCATTGTAATTATGTGCTTAAGGATTTGTTAAGGATTGCATGTACAGTAGCTACCATAGCTAGGCCTATTCACAAGCCAGATAAGTGAACTGATTATGAACCATTGTGACCCATTATTTAGCAAGGAATAAAACATTGGGCTAACCATGGCAACAAGCACTAGGTAAAGTCAAAATGACCTTATGGTCCATTTCAGCACCAGAGGGTCAAATTCATTGAAATTACAATTCAGACATACAGCTTCATCAGACACAGAGAGATAGTGACCAAGTCAGTACTCAACCTTCATTCTACAGAGGTTTTCATGCTATTCATTTTTTATTGAACCTGTTTGTAGACTAAATTATCAGAGAAAAAAAAAACTGGGCTCATTAAAGATTCAAGTGTACTTTTTTCTTGTAGCAAAAATAATGGGGAGAGAAAGCATAATTCAAAAGCTGGTTCGACAAGACCGCAGGCAGGCATTTTATGATCAGATAAGAAATGGTGTTCGTTAAGAGCTCCATTGGACTGTGCAAGAAAAAGGTAATTGAAGCTAAAGATTCAGGCATTGCTTCAAATCACTTATGGTTTTATAGCTCTAACAAATATTTATTGTAAGCCCTCAAACTCCAGTCAATTCCTCACCCAGTCTTCCCCTCCTAAACGGGAGACATTTTATCCTGTTTAATATTCAGGACTATAGATTGACACAGCCTTTTTGCTTAATGCGATTTGGGGAATGCCCATTTATGAATATAGGAGATTGGCATCTTTTAGTTTTAAATGGACACTTTATTTCAGTATTACACTCACCACAGGGATGATCAGCTCAACATTACAAACACAGACAGACACCTGGTTCCAAGGAGACTTGGTAGGAAAAAAGTAACAGAAGAATATCCAATGATTATTTGCTGTAGGGGAGAGTGGGGTATGTTGAGCCCTTTTTTACATTCAGCATCACTACATCAAGGGAAATATAGTATTCTTTCTAACAAATATATCTACATATATTTCAGGATAATGTGTATCCCTGGAAATAATCAGAATTCATGTAAATATAACAGTTTTGAAAACCTACACTCTTAGAAAGAAAGGCGCTATCTAGAACCAAAAAGGGTTATTCGGCTGTCCCCATAGGAGGACCTGTTATGGTTCCAGGTAGAACACTTTTCAGTTCCACGTAGGACCCTTTCCACAGAGGGTTCTCCCTGGAACCAAAAAGGGTTCTCCAATGGGGACAACCAAAGAACCCTTTTGGAACAATTTTTTCTAAGAGTGTAGCTTGTTGGTTACTTGGCACCACATACCCTGAGAGAGCAAAGAGAGCAGAGAGAGTAGAGAGAGTAGAGAGAGTAGAGAGAGTAGAGAGAGAATCGGTATGGGGTAAGTTGAGCATAGGGACAGGGTAAGTTGAGCCGCCTTGGGGAAAGTGAGGGATGGTGTCCTGCAACAGTGGGTGATGGTGCTGGTAGATCAAAGTTTAATTAATGGAATGGGAGTGCGGTATATTGTACTGTATATCTTAAATGTATGCCTACATTCAGATATAGATATCTCTGTTCAATATCACTTACCCTTCGATTTCTTGACCAGTTGTCAGTTGTATGGTGGTATCGTGGCCATTGGCTCAACTTACCCCATGGCCATTGGCTCAGATTTGACTATATTAGCCCACACAGCTACAAGGATGCACTTTCATGCTAGGTTTAGGACCTCATAGACCTCATAATGTAGCTTATAGAGAGTCCAAATTATGTATACAACCACAGTTTATCTACTTTGATTTAGATACAAGTATCATGAAACCTATAAATAACTACATTCATTTGACTTTGTGAAAATTTGTTTTTTGGACCTAAATTGCTTACCACTTTGTTCATGTGGTTTCTTCCTTCACAGACTCCATATAATGATGACCTCTTCCTAAATATTTGGTCACATGATTAATTTTGTGTATGGTTTCCTAGAAACAAGGTGTGGCTCAACTAACACTTTGGCTCAATCTCCCCTACCCTAAACTTGATTTAAAATGGATTAAAATAGGTTTGCACCACTGCAGTAACAAAGGCATGACTTGCTCCCAACTTGTAACTGCTTAGATACAGGTGACTGGGTAGTTCAATAATGTTTTTGCTGCAGTCTTTGAACATCTGTCTCAGTGTTTTGAGCCCTCAATAAATATCTGCTACAAATACTGTAGGACTTTTCCCAATTAACAGAATATTATCTCTATTATACTCCAGTGGGGAAAAACTTGTGCCACACATGCAAGAGTGTTGTGCTGATTATGTCGTAAAATGACATGGACCTCAATACTCTTGGGTCCAATTTCCTCTGCCTAGCTGGCTCTCGAGGCTCTCAGAGGCTCTGATTCAATGAACAGAAAGCTGCTTCTTTCATATCTCTTAATTGTGTAGGAGCACTTTATTGCACTTTATTTGTGAAACTACCATGTAGAACTGTCTAAGACCCAAAGAACCACAAACAAGTAGTAAAAGTGACATTTGATATTGCCTGATTACTGTAAAAGCCCTTTGTGACTGATATATAAAAGTTTATAAATACATTTCATTGATTTTGAACTAGAATTCTGAGGGTGTCATTTGAGTTCATGGTTATTGGCTAGTATCTGATTTACTGTTCTCTGGTTTATCATTAATACAGTTGTCATGGATCCCAGTAAACAAGCTGCTACTTTTGCAGCACTAGCACAGTGTAGGTAGCAGTGGATGGAAATGGAATCATTGCTTCCTTGTTGCAGTAGGACTTTTTGCTGTATTCTATTTTCGAGTTCTCTTGATATTTATGCGTGGGGTAGAAATATCATTCCCCTTCCCCACCTCCCATCTGTGCCATTGGAGTGCCTATTCTATCACTGGAGGAAAACAATTTAACTCAGTGGCTCCACCTCATTCCCATTCGACTATAGAGAAAAGAGAGTGAGGGGGGAAAGTAGCTCTATATTCCTGCTGCAGGTCCACAGACAAAAAGCATATCTTCCAGCTGAGCAGGAGGGAGGAGTTGAGAGCTTTCTTAGGCAGCTTCTGCACAAAAGGCACAAACCACTGGAAACTGGGAAAATTATTGTCTCATTGTGGAGATGAAGAGGAAGGTGATGAGGAAGAAGAGAAACAACATCTGAGCACCAGGGGTACGTTTTACAGATTTCCTAAGTGACTGATTGCTTCTGGAATTGAACTACATGCCTGCACCTGCAACATATTAGTATCACACCCATCTGTTGATGAGAGACTGGTGTTGGTTATCTTCTTTTTTATTTTTTTATAAAAAAATTAGGTGGATAAAAAATTAAGTTTAAAAACAATTAATTAAATCGTGAAGTTATTAGTTGTATATCCCTGAAAAGTACAGGCGATGCCTTTTGTTGTGATCTTCACTGTAAAGACTATTCTAGCCTGAGTACTGGACAGCTGTGTCTATCTGGAGCATTGAAAAGGATATAAATGTTCTGTTTTGCCTGGAATTTATGACACCAATTCAATCAGAAAACCCATTATGATTTTCCAGGAAGCCACAGAATGTAAAATGAAAACCCTAAAGCTTGACTAAGAAGACTGTCTTTTGGCTTGAACCGTACAGGTCGCCTTGGGACAGAGATCATTATGTTAACTGCCTCCACATCAGAATTAAACAGCCCGGGGTCTCTACCTAACGATGCCCAGGAGACCACTATCCAGAACAAAACAGGAAGGAGGAGGAAGAGCATGCTGAAACAATCATGGATGGAGATCACCGTAGCCTTCATGAGGAGGACCAAGGTCCACGGGCTGAAGTTTGTATTTTCCCCAGACAAGACCTTACCCCAGCGGCTCCTCTGGCTCCTGGCCTTCTTTGTGTGCATGGGTCTCCTGTTCACCTGGTCCTGGAACCGCATCTTCTACCTGATGTCCTACCCGGCCGTCACCAAGATCAAGATGGTGTGGGCTCACAACATGTCCTTCCCGGCTGTGACCTTCTGCAACCACAACCTGTTCCGGGTGTCCAGTCTGACCAAGGTTGACCTGTACCACAGCGGCTACTGGATGGACCTGATGCACCAGAACCACACGGTCATGGATAGGAGCCTGGCTCTTCTGAGGGACAATCACAAGTACAGCCTCCTTAACCTTCTGAACTTCAATGGCTACACCCCATCTCCACATTACCATGTCAACACCACTGAGATGATTGGCAGGCTGGGCCACCAACTGGAGGACATGTTGCTGGAATGCAGGTTCCGGGGGGAGAACTGCACCCACCAGAACTTCACCACCGTATGTAAAGTAATGTAGCCTAGAGATATAGAGACCGATGTTTGAGAGGTGTTGTTGATGGCATTTTCTGTACAAGGTATTAATAATTAATTAAAGGGTGTGTTTGAATGATATTCATTCTAGCAGGTACTCTCTAGGCAGGAGGATTGAAGGTATTGAAGTTTTAAGGCTAGCTGCTGGTATCATGTCAGATGATTTGTCTGGTCCTTGGTAAACATGCCATGTCTTTTCGGTAACACCATTCCGTAATAAACCATTTATAAGGCATTTATAAAGTGTGTTCACTATTTATTAATCATTACTCCAACATTTATAAACCATTTACTAATCATTAGTAAAGTATTTTTGCAGCCCCTGATCGAAAGTGAGCGCTATTTATGCTTTATAAATACTTTATACATGTTTGGAGTGTCCAGTGTTATTTCTCACAAAAAGATTGTCATGCCATTGGTTTCCAGCAGTACCTGGTAAAAGAATAAAACAGAGATTTTCCAAAAAGATTTGGTGCTTCATTGGTGCTTCATTGTGAGCTTCATCCTAGGGATTATCTTATATTAAACCTGCACATTTTCAAAGGTCAAACCTAAAAAAAAAAATACAGCTGCCATTTGGTTCTGGCAGGGGCCATTTGCTCAAAGGGCCTCATTATGGACAGGAGGAGAGAGGAAACTGAAGCCCTGTCATGTCCGTCTGAGCCAATGTGGGTCTGTCTAAAACGGGACATGGAAGGCTGACTCTGATATCTAGAGAGAGGCTTTGTTACGCTGTCAGAGTCATCCCTCTCTCCTCCATCATCCCTCTCCCTAAAATGTTCACCACAATGGATATTAAAAGGGAAATCTGTATCCCACGGCATAGGATTTCTCCCTTTGGGCTACCTGTTTCTCTTCTAATGTATAGCTGTGGGACCAGAGTACTGAGCCAGGTGGTGATTAATCTAGCAACAGGGCTTGTCTTGACCATGCTAGTGTCTGTTAGTGGCTATTAAATACTGGCATATTATGCCCCAGCTCAAATCAAATGGTAGTTGGCAGTATGAAAGGTGAGATAGTGGTGACATCCATCATAAGGCCTTATTAGTTTGATGAGACAAAATGCTCCCAACAAACAGGTGTACCTTTTACATGGTAGTTGAAAGAGCAGGCAGAGGCAAGCAGGTCTCGTCCCATGATCTTGGATGTACAATATGCCATTCAATATTGACATTCCAGCAGTACCTGGTAAAATAATAGGCACACAACAGAGGATCTTTAAGGAAATATATATATGCATTTGTGAATAATTAGCTTACCAAGATTTTCGAATGTGGGAGCAATGATTAATAAATGGTGAGCATACTGTTTGTAAATGCCTTATAAATGTTTTATAAATGCCTTATAAATGCCTTATAAATGGTTTATAAATGTTTTATAAATGTTTTATAAATGCCTTATAAATGTTTTATTACGGACCCTTAAAATAAAGTGTTACCGTCTTTTCTTTTGCTTATAAAACATAATAGTTGTTCAGTGAATTGTAAGAATCCAAATAATCCAAATACAGTTTAGAGAAGGTTATTGATCCGTTTCATTACATATTGTTAACACGCTAGATGATTTTTGAGCCGCAGTGGTACAGTATAACAAAGTCAATCCTATCACATTCACATTGCCTCAGTCTCAAAACATAATCATTTTAGTAACTGCTATTCAAACCACTCTCTTTCTCATTGTGTTCCTCTCTCTTAGCAACAGTGGCAGCTTCATGGAAGACTAATGAAGGCATCAATAATTCAACCATTATAAATTAGTACAAAATTAAAGTTTCAGCAGTTCATATTAAACATCTGGAAGTTTTATTGACTGTGTGCATCCATTTCATGAGCTTATTCCCCAGATAGGTGGATTGCTTTAGGCTTATCAGTGAAAATAAGCCCCTGAATGCACTAGTCTATAATTATAACAGTCAGCTGCTCTCAATCATTTCACCTCAAAGCTATTAGCACTCTTCAAACAGATTGCTGCTAAATTTTACTTGACAAGAAAATGGATGTCATTGTTAGTCACATTCAAGTGCTTAGTAGACATTACCAATTTCTCAGCAGTACAGGTTTAGAAAAAATATGAATAGACGATTTGGGATTTGCGTTTAGTAGCTGACAGATCCAGAGATTTTTATCGTCTGTCATTTCAGGTTTTATCGGATTATATGAGATTCCATCTAAAGGAGGACTTTTCTCTTTAGGTTCCGTCTTCTGACAGCTTTGACAAAGAGATTTTCCACAAAGATTTGGTACTTCATTGTGAGGCATTGTAAAGCTTCATCCTAGGGATTATCTTATATTAAACCTGCACAAGGTCAAACCCCCCCCCAAAAAAGGAATTCCAGCTGCCATTTTGGTTCTGGCAGGGGCCAGTTGCTCAGAGGGCCTCATTATGGACAGGAGGAGAGAGGAAACTGAAGCCCTGTCATGTCCGTCTGAGCCAATGTGGGTCTGTCTAAAACGGGACATGGAAGGCTGACTCTGATATCTAGAGAGAGGCTTTGTTACGCTGTCAGAGTCATCCCTCTCTTCTCCATCATCCCTCTCCCTAAAACTTTCACCACAATGGATATTAAAAGGGAAATCTGTATCCCACGGCATAAGATTCCTCCCTTTGGGCTACCTGTTTCTCTTCCAATATATAGCTGTGGGACCAGAGAACTGAGCCAGGTGGTGATTAATCTAGCAACAGGTCTTGTCTTGACCATGCTAATGTCTGTTAGTGGCTATTAAATACTGGCATATTATGCCCCAGCTCAAATCAAATGGTAGTTGGCAGTATGAAAGGGTGAGATAGTGGTGACATCCATCATAAGGCCTTATTAGTTTGATGAGACAAAATGCTCCCAACAAACAGGTGTACCTTTTACATGGTAGTTGAAAGAGCAGGCAGAGGCAAGCAGATCTCTTCCCATGATCTTGGATGTACAATATGCCCATGTGTATGAACACTAATGGATAACTGTGCCTATACCTTAGTGATGTATCACCTGTCCTGTGGTTATGAATATACATGTGAGTGATTACTGTAGGACAGTATAGATAAAACCCTTAGAGCACTGAATGACCAATCAATTCCACCTCTGTGAAATTAAATCACTTACGCAACAAAATGCATAGAGAATTTAAATCCATTATCACCTATTTTAACTTTTAGTTTTAAGTTATAGCTCACCAGCCATGAGTGTCAGTTATGTAAAACCAGATGCAGCATTCTAAGAGGCTCCTAATTATTATTTTTGCTTTGTTGGCAGACATGAAAGCAAAGTCGCCCATCTTAGAGAGAATTTGTAAAATAAAAAAATGCATGAAACGTCAATATGTAATTTGTGAGAGATGGTGCTAAAAGAACATGGTGGTGCTATACTGGAAAATCAGGGTATTTGCTGCAGGCAAAATCTAGTGTGCATCAATACTGAATTCTTTGCTACTCTTGGGAGCCAATTCTGACTACACCTCAATCACAGCCGGTAATTCACAAAGCTTAATCATTTTTTTTGTTCTCTCCTACTCAGATTGTGCTACCATTGCCTTTCTGTTACACCACAAAATGTTACATTCACACTCTAAGAAATTGATTTACTTTTATACAAAAGGAAGTTGACAACTGCTTGCTATGGTTCTGTGTATTTTATGAAAAGCAAACCAGTCAATGTTATTTTTACATTTTAGTAGACGCTCTTATCTAGAGCGACTTACAGTTAGTGAATGCATACAGTTTTCATACTGGCCCCCTGTGGGAATCGAACCCACAACCCTGGCATTGCAAGCGCCATGCTCTACCCACTGAGCTACAGGAGGGTCTCTCTACATAGTGTTATTATGCATTACTGAATCCAATTTATATACAGATGTAGGATCTTTATTTGAGCCAGTTTGCTACAGCAGGAAAATAATCCTGCAGCAACAGGAAATGCGAATTATTATGTGGATTATAATTAATTTACATTTTTGTAGGGGTTGATACATTTTCTTAAGGGAAAATCAAGTCTGAAATTTCAAAGTGGAAATTATATACTTCAGAAGCCTTTTTAAACCTCAACTATACTGCAAGTTTTAAATTTCCTGCATTGCAGGAAAGTTCTCCTGCAATAGGGTGATCCAATTAAGATTCTACATCTGTAGATTACCTTTGAGCTGTATTGGCACAAGTTAATGCTTTCCAAGGGGACTATAAGACACTTCCTAATATAAATTGTATTTGAACAACCTAATTTAGTGTTTGGTGGGATGGTAGAGCTTGGGGTTCGGCTATATTGCTTTGGATTAACTAGAACTTTCCATTTTAATGGAAAATACATCCTAAAGAAATATCTAAATTACTCAGGGGAATAAAAAAAATGGGGCTGGGTAAAGATTGCCAGTTGCCACGGCAGAAGTGTTAATTTATTTATTCATTCATCAATCTAGTATCTTGTTTGGTTCAGTGTTTTCTCAGATAATTACCTGCAAAGCTTACCTGCCCAGCAACCCTATCCCCAACCGCAGTTTAAATTGATCTACACAGAGAGCAACCTTTACTCAAAGTGACTGTGCTGTCTACTGTCTGTGATGTCGCTATGTCAAAACATTGTTGTTTCATTGAGTTAATGTCATGTACCTTCTTCTTCTTCCTGCAGATTTACACGCGTTACGGAAAATGCTATACATTCAACTCTGGTTTGGATGGCAACCCAATGTTGACAACGTTAAAAGGCGGGACAGGAAATGGGCTGGAGATCATGTTAGATATCCAACAGGACGAATACTTACCTGTTTGGGGAGAGACAGGTGAGTACCCAGAGTACCACAATAACTGATCTGTCCATACATTTTGGGCAATGGTAGAATGAACTTTACACAACAACCAGCCAACTGACATGCATTTATTCAAGATTCCTTTCTAGCGCTGAATTTTACCTGTGCAGTATTACAACAACATAAAGTTAAAAAACGTGTCCAACACAACATTTATTGTCTCCATCCTGGGAAAAATAGTTAATTCTTAGCACTGCATTTTCAACATGTGGCTTTATCACAACAACAAATGTCCCATATCCAGTAAAAATACATATCTCATTCCCAACACAACAAGCAATGTCTCCGACCAGGGAACACAGACGAGCAGAGGTTTCTGTTGTTACATTCACTGGCCTGCTGTTGTATGTATCCACAGACGAGACCTCGTACGAAGCAGGCATCAAGGTTCAGATTCACAGCCAGGACGAGCCTCCCTTCATTGACCAGCTGGGATTTGGTGTGGCCCCTGGTTTTCAAACTTTTGTGTCATGTCAGCAGCAACTGGTACCTACTGCTTAGCCTTTTGCACAAACACCTTTCCCTTCCTTCCTTCCTTCCTTCCTTCCTTCCTTCCTTCCTTCCTTCCTTCCTTCCTTCCTTCCTTCCTTCCTTCCTTCCTTCCTTCCTTCCTTCCTTTTTTTCTACCTCAATCCTCCTGTCGCTCTGCTTTTTTCTGTGTTTTTATCCAAACCTCCAACCCTTCTTCCTCCTCCTGTCATTGGCTATACCTCTGTGTCTCAGAGCCTGGAGAAAAATATATTCTGTTTATCTTACTGTATAATGCATGGAATAACATGCGACCAGCGCAATCGCTAAATCTGAACAGAAACCGTCTAATGATTCTGAACTGAAGTAGTAACAATGTGATATTTGCTACCCAGTATGTATCCAACAAGGAAAAGGAGGGAAAGACAGATTGGATGTACCAAGCAGAAATTGTCTATAAATGTATTTACACTGTTATTGGTGAGCCAGAGCTACAGTACCCCAGGCAGTTCACACACAATCTCTGACAGCTGAAAAGTATAGTTTCCATATTATCTTGCTGTCACTGATCCCACTTGCATGGGAGAACAATAGCATAATATCTCTGTAGTGCTACAGATGTAATATCTTAATTTGATCACCCTGTTGCAGGAGGACGTTCCTACAATTCAGGAAATGTCAAACTTGTGGTGTATTTGAGGTTTTAAAAGGCTTCTGAGGTTTGTAATTTCCACTTTGAAATTTCAGACTTGATTTTCCCTTACGAAAAATGTATCAATTAATTATAATCCACATAATAATTCAAATGTCCTGTTGCTGCATGATTATTTTCCTGTTGTAGCAAACTGGCTCAAATTAAGATCCTACATCTGTACATAAATTGGATTCAGTCATGCATAATAACACTATGTAGAGAGAAAAATAAGATTTTCGGAAGACTTTGGTTTGCTTTTCATAAAATATACAGAACCATAACAAGCTGTTGCCAACTTGCTTTTATATAAGACTAAATCCATTTTGTGGTGTAACGAAAAGGCAATGGTAACACAATTATCATGGCTTTGAGTAAGAGAAGACAAACAAAATCATTAAGCTTTGTGAATTACCAGCTGTGACGGAAGTGTAGTCAGTCACCCAAGATTAGCACAGAATTCAGCAGAAATTCCACTGCTTCAGATGCTCTCTCTCTCTCACTCAAATCAATTCCTCTCGCTAAATAAATACAAATCATGAATGTTGGAGCATCTGGTACATTGAATCAGAAATATGTCCTGAGGATTTCATTTGAATGAAATAGAACTGAAAAAATACCTAGCTATAGGCTACAGACAGTGCCTGAACCACAGTCCTATACCGTAGCCTATATCTGTTGGGCACTGTGACCAGTCAAAATGGAGCAGCATCATCTACACTGAACAAAAAATATAAACACAACATGTAAAGTGTTGGTACCATGTTTCATGAGCTGAAATAAAAGACCCATGTGTATGGCGTCGTGTGGGCAAGCGGTTTGCTGATGTCAACACTGAACAGAGTGCCTCAAGGTGGTGGTGAGGTTATGGTATGGGCAAACATAAGCTACGAACACAATTGCATTTTATCAATGGCAATTTCAATGCACAGAGATACCGTGATGAGATCCTGAGGCCCATTGTCGTGCCATTCATCCGCCGCCATCACCTCATGTTTCAGCATGATAATACACGGCCCCATATCGCAAGGATCTGTACACAATTCCTGGAAGCTGAAAATGTCCCAGTTCTTCCATGGCCTAAATACTCACCAGACATGTCACCTATTGAGCATGTTTGGGATGCTCTGGATCGACATGTACGACAGTGTGTTCCAGTTCCCGCCAATATCCAACAACTTCACACAGCCATTGAAAAGGAGTGGGACAACATTCCACAGGCCACAATCAACAGCATGATCAACTCTATGTGAAGGAGATGTGTCGCGCTGCATGAGGCAAATGGTGGTCATATCAGATACTGACTGGTTTTCTGATCCAAGCCTCTATCTTTTTTTTAAGGTATCTGTGACCAACAGATGCATATCTGTATTCCCAGTCATGTGAAATCCAGAGATTAGGGCCTAATGAATTTATTTCAATTGACTGATTTCCTTAAATGAACTGTAACTCAGTAAAATATTTGAAGTTGTTGCATTTTGTGTTTATATTTTTGTTCAGTATAGTATCCATCATCCAATTGTCGGATACAAATATTAAAATCAATGTTATCTTCCATGAGGGCAGATGTCAGGACCACGAGAATCATTTTAATACTGAACTAAAACGTCCCTAAGAAGGCTGTATTCCACGTGGTCACAATGTCCATCTGTTTGCCAGACCCATAGGTAATCTATTTCACAGTCCTGTCATTGTCACTAACTGTAACCATATGATGGGATAACAGCCCCACTGTCATACTATACAGTACACAGATCCCAGGTTATATCAGTGAATGTCAAACATTAATTTCCTTGATCAAAAATGTATATATCTTATTCATCAGAATTCTTAGCTTTAGGCTACTTTAAGCTTTGTCAACCTAATCTTTTTTTTTGCTTTTTCATGTGTTGTGATAAAATCATGGACCCCTGTAGACTTCAAGGAAGTTGACAAGCCTGAATCTGAAATAGCTAATTGGTAAATCTCTTAACCATATACTATGGTCATTAATAGCCCCTCTTAGCAGTGTCCTTTTGAGGTGTGCACCCAACAGTTCCTTCAATAATAGAACAGGTGCATGTCCATAATACCCACATTGATTTTCACATCAAAACCCAAACATGTCAAGGGGTGCTGAAGGTGGGTGTGGTGCAGGAATCAAGCGCAGGACGCAGAAGCTAAGTCCAAAAGACTTTAGTGAATTATTCACGTAGTACACGAGAACAATAAGCCCGGAGGCGAAATAAAGGCGCACACAGGCGTCAAACAAAAGGCGCACTAACATGTGCGAAAACCTCTCCAAACAACGGAGGGAAGATACGTAGCTCAGAACACCCAACAGAAGAGCAATCACACACAACACCATACACACACAACGAGAACTAAATAGGACACTAATGAGGACTAACTAGACACAGGTGTACAACATCAAGACAAAACCAAACGAACATGAAACATAGATCGGTGGCAGCTAGTACTCCGGGGACGACAACCGCCGAAACCTGCCCGAACAAGGAAGAGGAGCAGCCTCGGCCGAAACCGTGACAGTACCCCCCCCCCCTTGACGCGCGGCTCCAGCAATGCGCCGACCCCGGCCTCGGGGACGACCAGGAGGGCGCGGAGCAGGGCGCGCGGGATGGTCCCGGTGGAACTCCGACAGGAGAGATGGGTCTAGGATGTCCCTCCGCGGCACCCAGCACCGCTCCTCCGGGCCGTACCCCTCCCACTCCATGAGATACTGGAGACCCCCCATCCGGCGTCTAGAGTCCAAGATGGACCGAACGGTGTACGCCGGAGCCCCCTCGATGTCCAGTGGGGGCGGAGGAGTCTCTCCTATCTCACCTTCCTGGAGTGGACCAGCTACCACCGGCCTGAGAAGAGACACATGGAACGAGGGGTTAATATTCTTATATTCAACAGGCAGATGTAACCTATAACACACCTCGTTCAATCTTCTCAGGACTTTAAAAGGCCCCACAAACCGCCGACCCAGCTTCCGGCAGGGCAGGCGGAGGGGTAGGTTTCTGGTAGAGAGCCAGACTCGATCTCAGGGTGCGTACACCGGCCCCTCACTGCGGTGGAGATCGGCGCTCGCCTTGTGACGACGGATGGCCCGCTGCAGGTGGACGTGTGCAGTGTTCCACGTCTCCTCCGAGCGCCTCATCCAATCATCCACCGCAGGGGCCTCGATCTGGCTCTGCTGCCAAGGTGCCAGAACCGGCTGGTAACCTAACACACATTGGAAGGGGGTTAGGTTGGTAGAGGAGTGGCGGAGAGAGTTCTGGGCCATCTCGGCCCAGGGAATGTACCGAGCCCACTCCTCAGGCCGGTCCTGGCAATACGACCTCAGAAACCTACCCACATCCTGGTTGACTCGTTCTACCTGCCCGTTACTCTCCGGGTGGTACCCTGAGGTAAGGCTCACCGAGAACCCCAAACGCTCCATGAACGCTCTCCATACTCGGGAGGTAAACTGGGGGCCTCGATCAGACACTATATCCTCGGGTACCCCGTAATGCCGGAAGACGTGGGTAAATAGTGCCTCTGCGGTTTGTAGGGCAGTAGGAAGACCCGACATAGGGAGAAGACGACAGGCCTTAGAGAACCGGTCCACAACGACCAGGATGGTGGTATTCCCCTGAGAGAGGGGAAGGTCTGTCACAAAATCCACCGAGAGGTGGGACCATGGTCGTTGTGGAACGGGCAGGGGTTGTAACTTACCCCTGGGCAGGTGTCTGGGCGCCTTACACTGGGCGCACACCGAGCAGGAGGAGACATAAACCCTCACATCCCTGGCTAACGTGGGCCACCAGTATTTAGTGCTAAGACAATGCACTGTCCGGCCAATACCCGGATGTCCAGAGGAGGGTGACGTGTGAGCCCAGTAAATGAGTCGATCCCGAATCTCGAGCGGAACGTACTTCCGACCCTCAGGACACTGTGGAGGGCTGGGGTCGGTACGCAACGCTCGCTCGATTTCAGCATCGACCTCCCACACCACCGGTGCCACAAGACAAGACTCCGGTAGTATGGGAGTAGGCTCAACGGACATCTCCTCCGTGTCATACCGCCGGGACAGCGCATCTGCCTTACCATTCTGGGACCCAGGGATGTACGTGATTTTAAATACGAACCTGGCGAGAAACATACTCCATCGAGCCTGGCGAGGGTTCAGTCTCCTCGCTGCCCGGATGTACTCCAGGTTCCGATGGTCAGTCAAAATGAGGAAAGGGTGTTGAGCCCCCTCAAGCCAATGCCTCCACACCTTAAGGGCCTGAACTACAGCTAACAGCTCCCTGTCCCCGACGTCATAATTTCGCTCCGCCGGGCTGAGCTTTTTAGAGTAAAAGGCACAGGGGCG